TTACATAAAAGAACCTTGATTATTGCTAAAGCCATACCTTGAATCCCATGAGCCTTTTGCATTCCTATGTTCTTTTAAATTCTTATTTCGGTTAAGTCTTGTTGAGTACTTTTGTACTCGTGGTTCATTGACCCTTGTTGCGGTGAGGCTCATGAGCGGATCTGTTTTGGATCATCTTTGCATGCTGTTCATTCGCGATGACGATAATTAAATATGTGGCCCTTAAGGCGGCGGCAACAAGTTGTGTGTTTTGTAATATATTATAATGTCACTCCACTACTTTGGTTTGTATTAATATCGAACTTAGTTGTATGGTTTGAAACAAATGGTTTGTAAACTATGTTATTGTAAGACTTCCGTTGTTTTTACTCTGATATATCTATTTGAATAAACTATTATAATACTGCAATGACTCTGTAATGTGATCCTGCTCGAAAATTGTGGATGATTCGGGGTTCCCCGAGGACACTCGACAGTCTTCTTAAGTTATCGAGAACGTATGCATAGATGTCAAAGGTCGTTGGACAGTGACAGGTGCATATGGGCTCTATAATTTAGGAGGTTCTGCCACAACAAGGTTGTCACCACATGCTAACTACCACAAACTATCCGTGGGTCTAGCCATAAACCCAGGCAAGCTATAGCCCAAGCACCATGCTTATACTATAAACTCACTACTCTAATCTGGATCTCGGTAAAGTAATACTAGAACTCTCTAAAAGAGTGGTGAAACTCACAAATAACAATAAAATAATCGACACTTAATTAATGCAGAAGATTAGAGTTACCATAGAAGATCTTGGACTTCACTCGATCAAGAGTTTCATCTGCCAAGGTACAAGTGGAAGAGGTCACTGACAAGCCCGACTCCTCTCCTAGCTTCTCCTCACTCTCTCTATCTTCTAATTTTACTGATATGGCTTCACCTAAACTCTCTACTTTCTTGCTTGATCCTCCTTGGATGGATCCATCAAATGGTGTTAATCCTCCTTTTATAGTGTTCAAGAGAAGCAGGGGTAGCTGTAGGAGTGGTAGAAGCGCTGTAGGTGGCCAAGTGGGGTCAGGGGACCGACCCTAGGATGCCATCGCTTCGCCATCCAATGGCCCTGGATGCTCCCTGGTGGCGGTTCATAGTTACTTGAGGCAGTTTGGAGTTGGTGGCAGCTCTGGTGTATGATGGTGGGCCCTTCATTCCATGGGAGAGGTCCTAGTGACAACAGGATCAAACAAACCTTTGATCAATGTGCCACAGTGCCCACAAGTGTGTAGTCTGCCTTTAATCTACATTGGTGACGTGGCAGCTGGTGGGCCAGGTCAGGGCGACCCTGGTGGAGTTGGTCGGCCCCACCAGATGGCCCCTGGCTCGCCTACCTTGTTGGATGTCTTCTAGCTTCACTTGATGATTTTTACTATTTTGCCCCAACATACACAATTTCTCCAAGTACAAGTGCAACCATGTAAAATTGAACAAAGCTTTTCTTTTATGTTGGTTGCATGCTCAAATTATTAATTGTTGATGGTTAGAAATGGTGTATAAGGACCATCAACAATTATCATATTGTATAACCTAGTGCTTGCCAAATATGATTTCATGAGACTTGATTGGGATGAAAGTTGTTAGGTATGGATGCTTGTGAGGCGAGTTTTTTATGTTCTTTACTCTTTACTTCATCGTCATACCGATTTAAGTTTGATCACATCTATAAAAAAACTCCATCCGTCTAAGAAAGAATGTAATTGTAGCACATTGTTATGTTTTAATATCTTTAGTTTGACCAATTATATTTTATTAATAATTATGATATTAAATAAATATTATTAGATTAATTACAAAATGTATTTTCATGATAAATTGATTTGGAGCCATAGACGTGAACACAATTCACTAGAAAATTAGTTAAACGTGAACGACTTTAACTGGCACGCAACTCATAATTGTATTCTTTATGGAATAGAGGAAATACTAACATATATAATACTAAATTAAATTTAGCATGAATTATATTTTTATAATATATCTATTTAGAATCATAGCATTTTAATGATGTTTTCTATAAAGTTAGTAAAAACTTGAGTAAGTTTGACTCAATCTAAAACTAAAATTGCATCTTTTTTCTTGGAGGGAGGTGGTATTTGTGGATGGAGTATGCACATGAGGAAGAATATAGTGTGGCGCATGTCGTGCGTATATATAGTGGCTGTTTGGTCGGGTGGTTTAGCCCCTAGCCAGGCTTGCTAGGTGCACCCTGATGTTTAGTTGCCTGTTTGGTCTCCTTAGCCCGGCTTCGTTAGTGTAGGGAGAGCTCCTTAGTCGGTCTTAGGTTCTGTTTAGTTGCACCCAAAATATCAAAATTTTTAAGATTTTCTGTCACATCGAATTTTTAGACACATACATAAAACATTAAATATAAATAAAAAATAAAACTAATTACATAGTTTAGACGAAATCTACGAGACGAATCTTTTAAACATAATTAGATTATAATTGAATACTAATTATCAAATAACAACAAAAACGTTACAGTAGCGTTTTGCCAAAAAATTTGGCATCCAAGCTGGTCCTCAGTGGAAACGAGGAATCGGTCGTTCTCCAAGCAGCAGCTGTGAATCACGTCATCTCCTTCCCTTCACTGACTCGCGCCACTCCCCGCTGCCGCCGGTGCGCCCGCATGGGCTCGCGCCGCCCTTCGCTGCCGCCGGCCTCCAGGTGCCGCGCGGAGGAGCTCGCGTCGGCCTCCAGGTGCCGCGTGGAGGAGCTCGCGGCGGCCTCGCGCCGGTCGTCAGGTGCTGCGCGGCGAAGGAGCTCGCGCCGGTGGCCAGCGCCATCGGATGAGATTCACGCCGTCATGTGCGGTGGTGAGACTGGTGAGGCTGGTCGAGATCCGCAGTGACCGCGGCCCCTGCACCCTATGCATCTACCTCGCTGGCGATGGTGCCCTACACGCTCTGAATCGCGAGCCCACCAAGTAGTGCTCTTCTACTAAATCAAGATGGCGTTGGCGTGTGTGAGTTGTGCTATGATTTGAGGTGGGGAACATAAAGGCAAGAGAGAAATTGGGAGGGAGATGGCTGGCAGGGGCGGGCTCGCAGTAGTGTGCTGCTGTTGCGACCGTGCGGTGGTGATGCTGCGACCGTGCGGTGGAGCTCCGACTGCCGCGCGGAGGAGCGAGGTGGTGTGCTCCCCTGCCGGTGCGACCGTGAAGAGGAGCTCGACGGCCGAGCGAAGGAGCTAGGTGGGCGTGGAGGTGAGGTGGACGAGCATGCCCACCACCTGTTCGAGAAAATGCCTCAAAGGGGGTGATCTTACCAGCTCAAAGATGAGCGGTCATGGTCGGCTTACCTCGTGTCTGGCTCGTTTGTTTTTTTTTCACACAAAATAATATTTTTCTCTCACAACGATTCAATCAGAATAGTATTTTTTAGTTAGTTTTAGCCAAATTCAGCCAGCCGAACAGGGACCATAATGCAAAGCAATTCAAATAACCAATCAAACCTGTCTAGTCAGGCTTACAACCAAACAACTATGAATTGATTTGATTGGACCAGACTAAATTTGCCATGGCTTAAATGGATAACCAGGCTAGAGGTAAGCTATGAAACCAAACACACCCGTAAGGATCAGCTCATAACAGTTTCACGAGCTATTGTGAGTTTTTTTTAATCAAACACTCATTTCCAAAACAACTTTAACGGTGAAGCTGTCTTTCTCATCCTCTAATGAAGACATGAGTTGGGAAGAAGTAAAAAAATACCTTATCTTAGCTTTCTCCCTCATTTATCTTTCTCATCCATATATAAAGCTGTCAGTGAAGATGTTTTGCTAAATAATTTTCTAAAAACAGTCCAGTTTCACGTAAAAGGTTGTTCAACTGTTTCAAAAAAAAGCTTCTTAGCTGAGCCAACCGGCGCCTAAAACAAAACAGGGAGCACTGCTGCATGGCTGCATGGATAGGCAGTTGTGTGTGAAAGGGAAAGCTCGATCGATCCCTGCTTCCCTGAAAAACAGAGTCCTGTGCTCCAGCAAAAGAAAAGGACCCTTGCATGGCATTGGCCCGCACACTGGGCGTGAGAGAGAAAGCAGGGAGCAAAGGCTGACGCGGCTGTGCAAAGGCGCGGCAGCTCAGCAGCGGCATCCGCCACACTTCATAAAGAGACAAACTAGCTACCCTCCATGTAGCCAAGCCACTTCAATCTAGTGGCCTGTTCTTTTGGCTATAAGTTAGGGCTTGTTTTTATTTGATAATAATTGTCCAATTTTTGACTAATTAAAAAAATATTATTAGTTAAGTAAAACCAAAAAATTAGTTTTAATTTCACAACATTTAAAAAAGTTACGTACCGCAAATTTGATGTGACGAAATCTTCTTTTTACATAGTGTAGATTAAAAAAAGAAACTAAACGCCACTTCAGCTCTCAAATTGATTTGTTGTAAGAAAAAAATACTATTAGTTAGTTAAAAAAGAAAAAAAATACTATTAGTTGGTTAAAAAGATACGGTTTATAAATTAAACGAAAAGAGCATAGATTAAAAAAAGAAAGAAAGCCACTTCAATCTCAAATTCTCCATAAAATGTTTGGAGAGACAGCCTATTCGTTTCGATTTATTTGCTCGTATCTGACTTATAATCCACGACTTAAGGACTTATAAACCAATTCAGCTAAAAACAAGAGGCTGAGAGAATACAAAGGTTGTAAAGAAAAGCAGCCATAAAAGGAGGCAGCAGCACACCAGCACTAGCTAGCCTAGGCACGTACACACAGACAGACGGCACCTATTGCCAAGCAGCAGCAGAGCGCTCTCATCTGATCTGATAAAACGGAGGGGAGAAGCGCTCAGCTAGCTCACACGACACGCCATCATTGCTGCGCTGCCTCCCAACGTTCGAGCACGAAAGAAGGCGTCTTTCCCTCCCATTGCTGCGAGTGAGGGAGAAGAAGCAAGAACGTGACACAAACATACAGCGTGTTAGGTGGAGGGGTGGCGGGGTGACGGTGAGGGATGCGGGCGGGGGCATACACCATCCACCAGTCGCTCACCGCCGAGGCGGCCGCGGTGCTCAAGCTCGCGCTCGCGCTTGCGCGCCGGCGCGGCCATGCGCAGGTCACGCCGCTGCACGTCGCATTCGCGCTGCTGACCGGCCCCGCCGCCGCCGCGTGCGCGCAGCCTCTCGCGGCCTTCTACTCACCCGCGTCCCCGGCGGCGCCGTACGGTCTGCTCAAGCGTGCCTGCCTGCGCTCGCACCCGGCGCCCGGTGCGGCGTCGTCACACGGCGCGCCGCAGCACCCATTCCAGTGCCGCGCGCTCCAGCTATGCTTCAATGTCGCGCTCAACCGCCTGCCCGCTTCCGGCCCGTACTCGCCGCCCTCCTCGACGGTGCCATTCACGTCGCCGCTTATCCAGCCCAGCCCCACACTCTCCAACGCGCTCGTCGCCGCCCTCAAGCGCGCGCAGTCCAACCAGCGCCGCGGGTGCGTTGAGCTCCAGCAGCCGCCGCCAGCAACAAATGCGCCGCCGCCGCAGCAGCAGCCACTACTCTCCATCAAGGTGGAGCTGGAGCAGCTAGTCATGTCCATCCTCGACGACCCCAGCGTGAGCCGCGTCATGCGGGAAGCCGGCTTCTCCAGCGCCACAGTCAAGAGCAACCTCGAGGAGGACAGCGCGCTCATGCCACCACCTTCCTCGTCGTCCCCGCCGCCGCCACCCATCCCTCCCCACTTCTTCATCGACCCCAGCATTTCCTCCGGCAGCAAAGGTGGTGACCGCTTCGGGCTGTGGCCGGCGCAGTTCTTGGCCGCGCCGGTCCCGAGCGCATGCAACGACGACGTCCGCGCGGTCCTGGAAGTGATGGTCCGGAAGCAGGGGCGGCGAAGCAACCCCGTTGTGGTTGGCGACTCGGTGTCCATGGCGGAGGCCGTGGCCGGCGAGCTGCTGCGGCGCCTCGAGCGCGGTGACGTCCCCGAAGACCTCGCCGGCGCTCACCTCCTCAAACTGCAGCTCTCCTACGTGCACGTCCGCCTCATGAGCCGCGCCAACGTGAACGCCCGGGCCTCCGAGCTCCGCCGTAGCGTGGACGCCGTCCAGCTCCAGCGCGGCGGCGGGCTGGTGGTCTACGTGGGCGACCTGCGGTGGGCGCTCGATGAGGAACCGAACGACAACCACGCGGTGTCGTCGTACAGCCCCGTGGAGCACATGGTCGCCGAGCTCGGGCGCCTCCTCGACGACCTCCGAGCCTCCCGCGGCCGCGCCTGGCTCGTGGCCACTGCCAGCTATCAGACGTACATGAGGTGGCAGCAGCGGCGCCGGCGGCCGGTGGAGTCCGCCTGGGCGCTGCAGGCCGTGGTGGTCCCCACCGGCAGCGGCAGCGGCAGCGGCACCGGCCTGTCCCTCAACAGCCTCCATTCCTCATCGTCGTCCTCTTCCTCCCTCCCAAGGTAAGCACCAAGCAAACCAGTTCCCAACCGAGAAACCTGCTTTCCTACAGACTACAGTACTATGCTCTCCTGCGTGCTGCCACGTTGGTTTCGGCAGAATAGCCTTATAAGTCGATGAAAGTACCGCTTGCTGGTTTAGCGTGAGAGAAAAATACATTGTTTAAGCTGTGGATTATAAGTTAGATAGAGCGAATAAGCCGGAATAAGCCGAAACGAAGAGGCTTTTCCGTCTGTGCTCGTGTCCGTGTTCCCTTTTGCTCACTACTGTTGCATTCTTGCTCTGGTCCTCCATTGATGCCTTACTGGCTAGAACAAGCAAACGGACAAGCTGGTCTGGTCAGCTCAGCGTGCATCTTGCAAGCTCCCCCGTGAGGCAGCATCCACCTGCTACACTACTCCTAGTTTCTACTAGCTTGTCATGTAAACTCAAGGTACTGAAATCTTAGATAAGGATAAGAGGAAGAAGAAATTGCCCTGATCCCATGTATTATAATCCTTACTTTTCAGGTTATCTTTTCAACCAGAACCCTGTATTTCTCTCGCAATAAATAAGCTGGAACGGTGTTTTTTAAACCCTATATTTCTCTCGCAATAAATAAACAGGAACGGTGTTTTGAGTTTTTTTTTCAGCGAAGCAATCAGGGAGAACAGGATGGTAGCCTAGCAGCCCTGCGATTTTTTTTTCCTATCTGTGCCGCAGAGCAGAGATTCCATCGATCTGAGCTGGTCTCAGTTTCTGTCTGACGAGAAAAGGGCTTCATCTGATGCAGCGACAGTGCCTGGCATCCTGAGCCCGGCCCTCGTTTTGGTACACCGGGAGGACGCGTCAGACTGATCCGATGCTGCTGCGTTGCGTTCCTTTTCCTAGCAATCATGCTGCCTTTCACAAGTTCAATCACATTTCTGTATTGCAATGCAGAGTTGAGGGGAAATCTCTGATAAAATAGAAAGTTTCGATTATCCTTGCACTGGTGCTGGCTACCGGTCAGGAAAAAAAACACTTATCTTCTCTGATAAATGTCTAGAAGGATATTCAAATGTTCCGAAAAAAAAATCAGAACTAGACTTCTACTGTGGCCAATGTTGAAAATTGGACTATTAGTGGTGGCTTGCTGAAACAGCTATGACAACTATGGCTGCACTATAGCAGCCGCTAAGCCATTTAGCATTTTGGAAAACTGAATATAATTCATAAGCTAGAACATTCATTATTCCAATAAAATTAACTGATTTCTCATTTCAAAAAGGATGTAACTCTCACTTTTCGATGACTCAAACAATCTTATGTTTGACTAAATATTTATAAGTAGTACTAATATTTATGATACCTACTAGATTAAGCTTGAAATATATTTATATTATTATAATAGAACTATTTGAGTTTATGTTTATGGTATTTTTTATATAAATCTAGTTAAATTTGAAATTGTTTAACTCATGAGGAAGCGAAACTTCTATTCTTTTTAGGACGAAGGGAGTATAACATCAGTAGTTGTCCAGCAGCCCAAGGCATAAACAAACACTAACCAGACAATCAGATGTTGGTTGATTAAGTTTTTAACTTATCTAACTTAAAAGAACATGTGGAACCTGTTTAGCGTCACTAAATAAAGACAGTGGCTGGCTATAGTTCAAAACAATCGCGGTTTAGCTCCGCTATTGCCTGATATAGCATCCATAACAGCCATAGCGTGAGAAAGAACAAAAAAAAAAATAGTGGGGAGAACGTCCAGCCGCTCTAAGACCACTATAGCCTACTATTTTCAACATTGTTTTTGGCTCATCTTGTTTGAGAAGTACTCATCTATAATCTATAGTTGAAGGCTAGAAGCTCTATCATCTCTTTGTACCAGTACCAGTGTTCTTTCATGACATGTATTTGTTTGTCCCTGCCTAGCGTAAGTGTAACACCATTGCTTTTGTCTTGATTAGAAGGGACTTCGCTGAAGTTTTGTGATTACTTGAAACTATTACTCTATTAGAGGACTAAAGTACATTAAGTAAGACTCGATTACTTGTTTGTTGGTCAATTTCTGTGAAAGCTGTCTACTCTTATATAGTAGAAGCTTCGTCCTGATCTTTTTTTTAGAACGATTGTAATGCCCTTATATTGTTTAGCATTGTTTTCTTTGTCCTGTCTAGTGCCAGTGCAGGGGTGCCTCCGGCAATGGTGACATCACAGCAGCTTCGGCAGAATCCTTTCGCAATGGCGAGGGCGGCAACTGCGTTTGCGAGCAGAGATGAGCAGGATGAGATGCAGCTGGTGCTCTGCACCGAGTGCACCAAGCACTACGAGAGTGAGGCGTCGCTCGTGAAGGCAGAGGCTGATGCGGAGGCCCCACGTGCCAGCCTCCCGGACTGGCTGGTGTTGGACAGGCCACCGGCAGCCCAAGCACCACACAAGGTAAGAAAACAATGACAATTGGATTTCTTGGCATGCCAAGAAGCTACTGATCTTAACAAGATGTGTCCTAACTGTGATTCTTTTGATGGTTTAGCAGAGATATCTGATCGAGTTGAAGTGGAAATGGAGCCGGCTGTGCCGCAAGCTTCACCTCTGCTCTAATCCATGCTCCCCTCCGTGTCCATGGTGGTCTGGTTCTTGCTTGCTACCTGCCAGCAAGAGCAAGCCAAGCGTGGCGGGGTTCTTGGGCTTGGATGGTTTGATGGAGCAACGCAAGAGCAGGACAGGACGGTGGTCCCCGCCCTCACAGTCAAGGGGTCCTCGTTGGGGCCTGAGTCCACCGGCGATGGGGCCGGGATGTCAGGGCGTGGCAACTACGCTTGCTCTCAGCAGCCACCCGCTCTCGGACTCGGCGACATCCGACAGCCGCGCCCCAGGAAGCGGTGATGGCTCCGCGGCGGCGGTGCGCGAGCTGGAGCAGAGGCTGCGCAGGAACATCCCGTGGCAGCCCGGAGCCGTCGTCACGGAGATTGCCAAGGCGGTGGTTGCTAGCCGTCGCCGAGAGAGCGACGGTGCGATGGGCGCGTGGCTGTACGTGAAGGGGAGCGACCACAGCGCCACGCGGCGCGCTGTCACGGTGATCGCGGAGACGCGCTGCGGCTCGGCTGATCGCGTGATCTGCGCCGACGCGAGCAAGTTCAGCTGCGCCGAGGAGCTGTGCTTGGATGTTGTCTCCAGGGCGTCCGAGATGGGTGGCAGGATGCTGGTGGTGATCGTGGACGATGTCGAGAACGCATCGTGCGACGTTGCCGACTGCCTGGTCGCCGCATCGAAGAGCGGTTCTCTCAAGGATCATCAGTCCGGACAAGTACTGGATCTCTCCGGCTGCATCGTGATCCTGACGGCATCGAAGTTGCCCGGCGGCGACAGCGACCAAATAATCAGCCTGCGTCTGTGGTCGGAGGACGAGGCGTCGTCCGGCGCTCTCAAGAGGAAGACGGAGTCACCGCAGGGCGAGGGCAAGCGGGCACGGCACGACGTCGGGCTGGGCAGCCTTGATCTCAACCTCTGCGCCGAGGATGACCCAGACGAAGACGAAGACGATGGAGCCCCCAGCGACCTAACCGACGAAGGCGACTCCAGCGACTCAAGCGAGCACGGACAGCCCCACGGCCTCCTCGAGGCCCTCGCGGCCAGCGTGGTCACCCTCGACAAGGAAGGTGGCGGTGGCGGCGACGCCACAGCCTCCATCCGCGCAAGGCTTGCCAGGGCCATCGGCCAAGGAGGAACTGGGACGCGTGTGGAGGAGACGGCGGTGCAGGCGCTCGCAGCGGCGTCCGGACAGTTCCTTGAGGAGGAGCTTGACAGTTGGACGGCGGAAGTGCTTGAACCGGCGGTGGCGGTGGCAGCGGTCAAAAATGACGGGAAGGGGAAGGTGATAATAGTACTTGGATTGGGGCCCGGCGGAGGGGTCCGGGAGACAGCCGGGTTCATGGGCTCGGTCCTTCCAAGTAGGGTCCAGGTGGACTGAGCTGTGCTGCGCATTTTTTTGCTCTCGTTTTGGAAAGGAGGAAGTTGTTTATATGTAAAGGGTAGGATTGGGGCCTGGAAATGGAGAATTTGGGGTGGGCCTGTCTCCTACACCACGTTCGGCTGGTACACTTACAGTTTTTTCCAGCTTATTTCAGCTTATTCTCTCTCACATAACACTATTAAATCATCAAAATAATATGAAATTCACTGTGCTACCTACCAGCCGAACACAGAATGTCCTACTATTCTTACATAAGTAGTTTAGCATGTTAATTTACTAATATGTGTGGGTGTGGAATGTGGATTGCTCAACTTGAACCTTGGAATTTGGATCCACAAGTGAGCACAGAGTATCTCCACAGATGGCACGTTTGCTTCGCTGAAAAAATAAGCCAAAATGACTAAAGATTCACATGATTTCGCACTACAATGGAGTATCATTCGAATGTTAGCATTTCCGTTCATGGGTTTGTGAAACTTTGAGTTAACCACTGCTTACTCGCAGATGATGTGCCAGCTACTCGTCCCTGACATGAGTGAATGAGAGAGAGGAGAGAGGACCCGATGAGTGACACGCATCGCACGGACACGACGCACGCGACGGGAACAGAGGGAAAGGGAAGAATATCGCTGGTTCCGATGCGTGCAGGAAAGCGGACGCGACGGCGGCGAGAGGGACAAAGGAACACCCACTCCCCTGCCTGCCCTGCGCGCTTTCTTTCGCTTTCCATCAGCCTTTCCTTTTGCCGGAGGACCTCCTCGGGTCGTTGTTCAGTCTCCGCCGGTTGCCGGCCGGCCCTGGTGTAGGAGACGGGCTCCTTTTGGCTTTCCTTTCCCCGCTTTGGCCGCATGCGCGCAGGAAAAGACCACGCCTTGGGCGCGCCGCCGGGTGCTGGGTCGGAGACGGACATGGAACGGAAGTCCTGCGGCAAAACCCTCCTGTCCTGTCTCCATTTTTTTTTTAGTATTTTTATTATTATTGGTAATAATTATCGTGCCTATTTATTCATTTAGCTTATAAACCAATTTTTTCAGCCAACGAATAGTATTTTTCTCTCACAACAAATCAACCAACAGTACTTTCAAACATGACTTATCAGCCAAACGAAACAGGCATATATAGCAAGTGAGATTTCAGGACTCATGCTCCCTCCGTCACATAAAAGGTATCGCTACGAGACTCATGCTATTGATTAGATTTGTAAAAAATATTATGAGCATTTGTATCTTCAAATAAATTTATTATCAAAATATTTAAAGATCTATCTAATGATATTAATTATGTATCATAAATATTAATATTTTGTTATATATATTTAGTCAAAGTTAAAGATAGTTAACTTCTTGAAATGCGATAATGATTCTTTTTATGGGGTGGAGGGAGTGCGTGATTTCGAATGTGTGCAGTCAAACTTTATATTCGACTTGTTCGGCTTCTTTTTCAGCTAGAATAGTATTTTTCTCTCACAACAATTCAGTCAGAATGGTGTTTTTCAGCCAGTTTCAGCCAAAATTCTGCCAGCCGAACGGGGCCATAAACTTGAGAAAGAACTAATGACCTTTATATTTTAACCACAAACATACACAAAAATATTCATTTGTATCTCTTTAATACAGGACATGACGAAGAAGAAGGATGAAGGAACTGCCGATTCTCCTAAATACAGAAACGTGTCCGCTCTTATCCCCTGCAGAGCTTCCGATCGCTTTTTTGACATTTCGATCCTTTTATATGGAACTTCTCAAGCTGGAGGTGGATCCGTCCGATCTTGGCGTGTCTGATCGTTGCTAAACACTGTAAAGACTAAAAAGAGAGAGGCCGTGGCTACCTCGGTGACCGATCGATCACCTTTTCCTTTACCCTTTTGCAGTTTGATTTTAAACGCGTGCCTAGACAGCAGCAGCAGCACAGTCGACGGAGGCCACTCAAAATCACTCCTCTACCAAACAATTATTTCATTTCTTTACAAGACAAATTCCCTTATCTTAAAGAGGTATTGCGACACGGCCATGGGCACACAGACAGTACTTCCTCCAGGTGATTACATATGCTTCTGGTTCCCTTACAATTATTCCAAACGGTAAAGATTTTGGTCTCGATACATATTTTATTCCCTAAATGTCTAGTTCATATTAATTACCGAGTAAAATTTCATGAATATTTTACTTTGGAGTTTAGAGCACCACAGAAACAGTTCCTATTGACGCCAAGGATTTTCTTTACTGATGGTTTATAAAGAATAGACGAGTAGAAATAGAACTATAGGACCATAGCTATGAATCACCAGTGGACATATATTCTTAATGATGGACTTCATAAGACAACCACCAGTGTAAATTGGATCCATAAGGGCAGTTGGTTTAAGATGTTCGGATAATGACTTGTATATCAAGATATCATCGAAATAAACCACCACAAAATTTCCCTTGAAAGAATGTTAAACCTTGTTCATTAAGCGCATGAAAGTGTTAGGTGTATTAGTCAACCCAAAAGATATTACTAACCACTCATACAAGTCAAACTTGATTTTAAAAAACAGTTTTTCATCATATCCTAGTTTCATGCTTATTTGGTGGTACCCAATATGAAAGTCTACTTTAAAAAATTATGGAATTGTTCGACTCAACAAGCATGTCGTCTAACCTATAAATATGATGATGATACTATATTGTGATATTATTAATGGTTCTACATTCTACACACATGCGTCAATTGCCATCTTTTGTTGGAACCAAGAGAACCGGAACAACACAATGACTAAGGCCTCACGTACATACCCGCAGTCTAAAAGGTCTTGGACTTGGCATTGAATCTTCTTATTCTCCTCGGGGTAGGCAACTCGGTTTGGCAAACTCGCTCTAGGAATCAAGTCAATCTGATGCTCAATCCCTCAAATGGGTGGAAGCCCTAGAGGTATTTCGATGGGAAAGACATCACTATATTCCCGCAAAAGGTCAGTGACAGAGGGTGACAACGTGCTAGCTATATCATTAGTGGAAAATAAAGCATCCTTCAAGTGGGAGGCACTCAATAAACCTAAAGAATTTGAGGGCCTAGGTTTTATGGATGTTAGAGTTAGGAATGTGTGTCTGTTGGTCAAATGGATAGAAAAACTGGAAAGAGGGGATGATAGCCTATGTTGCTCTTTACTGAGGAAGAAGTACTTAGGCCAGAAAAGTATCTTTCAAATAAAAAACAGACGAGGCTCTCAGTTCTGCAGAACACTACTAGACTTGAGAGAGTGGTACCAAAGAGGTATAGGTGTTGAAATAAGAAGTAGACAGTAAATCAGATTTTGGATTGGAGAATGCCCTCTGAAGATTAGCTTTCACAGACTTTTTCGAATCACTTATCAACCTGATATAGAGGTAGGACACGCATATATGTAAATGGGCAATTCAGTATAGAAGACAACCAAATGAGTCTCTCAGTGAAGAATGGGCTCAACTCCAGAATCTATTGAGTGATGTTACACTTTTAGAAGGGTGAGAAGGTTTTTTGGGCTCTTGAGCAATTAGAAAATACTCAACTAGTTCCATATACAAATTGATGACTTCAAGTGGTGTGTTAGAGATACACAGTTGATGACTACATAAATTTTCATCCAAAATTCAATTAGGGATTCAACTGAAGAAAAAAAATGGTCTGGTCTAGAGGAACGTGCCATCACCGTGGACAATAAGGAAGACTAGGAATGACGTGGTGTTCAATAAAAGGTGTTGTCTTCACCGATGGTGATCATGTACAAGACCCTGATGCTGATCAAGACTTGGTGCCCCTTGTTGAAGACGAAGCTAAGACCCACGACGGATGTTATGATCAACTGATTTCATCGAGCGCTTGTTAAGTCATTGTAATGTCTATGTATGCTGGTTGGTCTGTTTTCGGTTAGTTGAGTTGTTGGATAGAGAGAGAGTTCCTGAATGTTAATCTTCCATTTTCTGTTCGCTAAATTGTACAACTAGTAACCTCGGTTCCGGATCTTGGGCTTTCGTTATGCTTTCTAATAAAGCTGGGTGTATGCCTTTGATCTAAAAAATATCAGAGCATAGCACACATCATTAATTTCAGCATGGTCATATTTTGTAGCAAGCATGATAGGATTTTTAGTTTAATTCCTTCCCCTTTTTTGTCCTTAGATATTTGGTGGTTCTCAGTTTTAGCATTAGCTTTTTTTCCATTAGCAACTCTCTCTCTCAGTTAGCTTGTACAATTTGCGCAATTAACTTGTACAATTTGAGGTAGCAAAGTAATTTTCCCCTTATACATAAGTGTGTATTTATTACTTCTACCATGGTGTGTTGTGTCATTATCAAATTCCCATGGGTTGACCCAACAAAAGAGAGCGAGCTTGCATTGCCACCACATCACAATCTACAAAAACAGCATATGTAACAATGGAAAAATGTACTCGGAATATTTGTGTTACCTTTGCCTTACTATGAGTTGTTGAGCCACTGAATATGGTATCGATGTGGATGTGGTCGCGTGGTCAAGTCAAGCTTTTTTTATCAAAACAGAACATACCAAGTTGTTGCAGCATCCTCGGTCAAGATGACTCATGCATGCCAATTTTTATGACAATGAAAATATGAAACAACTTATGGCATTGCATCTTCTCTGTTTCCTCCATTTTATTGTCGGTGTTCGCGCTCCTCAAGGGATTGGATGGCTAGCACTCAGGACATAGAGAAATTATACTAGTTCAGGACGAAGCCCTACATCCAGTGCTAGAGACTATGAGTACGTGTTCCTCAATGTCAAAGTGCTCCAAACGGCTTACAACGGGGGGGTATGCAAGCTAGGGTTCTATAGGTAGAAAGGATTCGAGGAAGGGGAAATTGATTGATTGGGAAGAAGGCCTAGCTCCCTTTATATAGCCGCAACGGCTAGGTTACATGCAGGAAAGTAGGTTTCTCCCAGCCCGAGTGGCGAGGAGCCCAAGGGAGGGAGAAGCTAGTAAGCTTGGTCGACAATCTTGCTGGTCTTGTCAGCAT